AATAGCCAAACCTGGGACAATTTGATCAACAAAACAATAATAGTGGATGTTAACTCATAAGAGAAAATAAATATCCATGAGTTCATACTGACATAAACAATTGAATAAAAAAATAGGAAAGATGGGGCCTCCCTGGTGGCGCAGGCAGTTGAGCGCAATGCTGTGAAGCTGTCTACAGTCTCTGCAGTGCTGGTTCAATCCCCACCGGCCTCGGAGCAACCCACATGGTGAGCAGACCTCTCCTGTCTCGCCCGCTGCTCCCCTCAGCAGTGTATTTCATCAGTCTGCCTGTTCTGTTCCCCACTCTGTCTCTGGTGAATCCTCTCACCCTCCTGCACATCTGGCCTGTACACCAGTTCTTGCATAAATAAAATAAATCTTTTTTTTTTTTTTTTGTGGGACCCTCGCCGGTGGTCGGGGAGCGAACTGGCGCTGCAGACTCGCAGCCCAGCGCTCAAACGCTGCACCACCAGAAGAGGCAAAAAAAAAAAGGAAAGAGGAATACACAATGATATAAAAGATATAAAAGAACAGATTATATTAAAAAAATTTAAGAAAAGGAAAGAAGTGAAAACTCTTGCTTACCACAGAATTTCAATCAATAAATGTAGTAGCAATGACTGAAACAGGAAATTACAATTAGACAAACCATTGCAGTCAAGAATTATCAATAGAGGGGCCTCCCTGGTGGCGCAAGGGGTTAAGTGTCAGTACTATGAGGCTATCCACAGCCACGGCAGCATGAATTCAATCCCTGGCCAGGGAGGTGACCCACATGGTGCAGCAGAACACTCCTGTCTTGCCCACTGCTCCCCTCAGCAGTGTGTTTCAGTCAATCTACCTGTTCCATTCCCTACTCTGTCTCTGGCGAATCCTCTTACCCCCCACAATTCTGGCCTGTACCCCAGTTCTTATATGCATAAATAAATAGATCTTTAAAAAAAAAAGAATTACTAATAGAATGAACATATGATGCAGTAACTCCATTTCTGGGTATCAAAAAAAATTCAAAGCAGAATCATAAAGGATGTTTGCACACTTATGTTCACTGTAGCATTATTCCCAATAGCCAAGAAGCAAGCCAAATGCTCATCAACAGAAGAAAGAATATAGAAATTGTGGTACAGACATACAATGGAAAATTACAGAGCATTAAAAAAGGAAATTATCTTCACATGATAAAACATGAATGAATCTTGGAAACTTGTAAGTGAAATAAGTCACAAAGGGATAAATAATATGTTTTCTGAGCTCTTCTGCTGACTGTGACTATGCAAGTACCTCTCTTTTTCTTTCTCCTTTTCCTAATAAACCTGTGTTTTCAAAATGTAAAAAAAAAAGATGTGTTCCACCCAAAGAGTCAAAATCATAGAAATAGAAATGTGGTTTCTAGGGCAGAGTAAAAGGGTTATTGCCAGGGACAGAGGAAAAAGGGAATTAGTGTTTAATGGGTACAGAGTTTGCAAGATGAAAAAGTTCTAGAGATCTGTTATACAACAATCTGTTGTATACAACTGAACTGTATATTTAAATATGGTTCAAGTGGTAACTTTAATGTTATGTATTCATTTACAACAAAAGTTAATTACAATCGGGGGGCCTCCCGCATGATGAAGCAATCCGCAGCCTCTGAAGCATGAGTTCGATCCCAGGTCAGCCAGGGAGCAATCCACATGGTGAGGTAGGCCTCTCCTGTCTCACCCGCTGCTCCCCTCAGCAGTGTATTTCAGTCAGTCTGCCTGTTCTGTTCCCCAGTCTGTCTCTGTGAATCCTCTCACCCACCATACCTCTGGCTATACCCCAGCTTTTATATATATAAATAAATAAATCTTTTAAAAAATTGCATTATGGTTAAGTAAAATATTAATACAAGGAAAAGCTATATGAATGAGGGAAGCTATTTTTACAACTTCTCTATATAAGTCCAATATTATTTCAAAATTAACAATTTTTAAAGCAGATACATCAAAGTATGACAGAACTTCAAGAGGTTTTTTAGGAAAGACAGAGATGAGAATACAATGTCCCTAGCTTTTTGAAAATAACAGAATTGTAGCACTGAACATTACCTTGGAGAGCATCTGATACTACCATCATCCAATGACGGATTCTTAAATGTCATGCCATTGATATACAGTCATCCAACTATGGCCTGGCTATTTCTAGTAAATTTACTATGTTAAAATGCAAACCACAAGTTTACTACACTATAAGTCCAATAAGCAAAGTTCTTCCTCATTCTGAGACAAATCAGCCTCCCTGTCAGACATGTACCAAAGGAGGTCATTCTGAAGCTGAGATTTCCAATCAAAAGATCTCAAAGATGAAAAGAGATATAAGTCAACATGACAAAATGTCTAGTTTATTTACATTGGCTAAAACTACATTTTGTCAGCATGAGATAAACCACCTTAATTTATTTATATGAATGCTTTGCTAAATACACTAGGTACTCAAAAAATCGTTGTTGAGGGCCTCCCCGGTGGCGCAGCGGTTGAACGCTGGGTTGCGAAGCTGCCCGCAGCCTCTGCGGCGCCGGTTCGATCCCCGCCTGCTCCCCGGCCACAGGAGGAGGATCCCACATGGCGTGCAGACCTCTCCTGCCGCCCGCTGCTCCCCTCAGCAGTGTACTTCAGTCCTTCTGCCTGCTCTGCTCCCCGCTCTGGCTCTGGTGAATTCTCTCACCCTCCCGCGCTTCTGACTGTACCCAGTGCATGTATAAACAAACAAACAAACAAACAAATAAATAAATAAATAAAATAAAAAAACGTTGTTGATTCAAAGAACGAAATACATGTCAAAGGTTCATATAATAACTTCCCCCCACTTCATATCTGTGTACACACAAATAACCAATGATTTATATGACAAAATCTACTAAAATTTTCTAATGCACAAAAAGTAACAGAACATAGCACAACCCTAAAAAGAAATAGTTGCATTGCTACCCAAAACAGATGACTCTTCTGCAAGGGCATATTCTTCATTTATTCTACAAACATATAGTACCTACTCTATGCCAAGCTTAGTGAGAAGCCCAGGAAATACAGGGACTAATAAGACATGTCCTCAGAAGGATAAGATTTGCACACTAGTTGGAGGGAAGTACTATACATTTAATTTTTTTTTTTTTTTTTTTTTGGTGGGACCCTTGCCGGCAGCCGGGGAACGAACCGGCGCTGCAGAGGCTGCGGGCAGCCTCACAGCCCAGCACTCAACCGCTGCGCCACCAGGGGAGGCCCTTAAAATTTATTTTTAATATATTATGTTACCTAAGTTATATTTATAATATATAGCTATCAAAAATAATCTTTAATTATATCAAATACAAAAAATAAAAATGACTACCGAAAGGATCCACATATAAATTGGCAAGAAAAATGAATTCTCATAAGATACATGGAGAAATGACAGATTTTCAAAAACCAGAATATATCCAGTAAATAGAAAAAACGCTTAACCATGATCAAGAAATACCAAGTCAGGCCTCCCGGGTGGCGCAACGGTTGATTACTGGGCAGCAGCAGCCTCTGCAGCGCAGGTTCCATCCCCAGCCACCGGGCGAGGGTCCCACATGGCGCGCAGACCTCTCCTGCCGCCCGCTGCTCCCCTCAGCAGTGCATTTCGTCAGTCTACCTGTTCTGTTCCCCGCTCTGGCTCTGGTGAATTCTCTCACCCTCCCACGCTTCTGACTGTACCCAGTATGTGTATAAATAAATAAATAAATAAATAAATAAATCTTTAAAAAAAAAAAAAAAGAAAAGAAATACCAAGTTAAAAAAGGTAACACTTCTCTACTGAAGTAGTTTAAAATTTTGAGAAACATCTAATTTAGAATGTAGTTATACATACATTCCCAGTGGCAGTATAAATTGAAACAACTTTTGCAGAGAGAAATTGCTCTTATCCTTTAACTCAGGTTTACCTTTGAGGGGAAAAAAAAAATGCCACCCCAATATGCTACTTTGGTATATGGGTTGTTTTGAGCTAATGACAATTAAGATCCAAGGAGATTCAGGAAAAGATTTTTACCTCTTCCTTAACTACCGGAAAGCATTTAGTAGTGGGCCTAGAACAGGAATTCAGCTACTACCAGAGACAACTTTTACACCAGAAAGACTAATCTGCATGACAGGGCAGCATCTATTTGCCAAACATTTGGTCTTCTCAATCTTCCTGTGAATTGTCTACTTCTCCTTTGATACCTGGCTGCTTTTTGTATGTCTGTGGAGCTCCCTTACATACAAAATTAAATGTGTTTTTCTCCCACTAACCTGTCTTATGTCAATTTAATTTACACCAGTCAACAAACCTAGAAGAGAAAATTTGCCTCCCCAAAACCTTCCTAGGGATTTATTTATCGTTTATTTATTTAATAAACAACCTGAATAAAGTCTGCTCTAGTAAGTGAAATGGCATCAGACATTTCAGAATATTTGTTAAGGTGTCAAAGGAAAAAATTAATACACTATATAAAGACCAGAAAAGAACCAGCAGATGTTTTCAGATTTGAGGTCAACGGTGATTTTTATTTATTACTAATTTGTCCATTAACAAAAAACAGGAGAAAAACTTTCAAAACAAACTACATTACAATGAATAATGCATTCAATGGTAAATTAGCCCTAAAATAATTGCTTAATTTTATGTTCATAAAAAGGATAAAAAGAAACATCTCACCCCCAAAAAAGTGGCACATAGGCACTATTTAAAAAAATATATAAAAGAAGTTAACTCTGAGATGAATAACTGGAAACACTCCCAATGGTAAAAATCATCAGACTATAGCACAGTATCCTAGGCTAAGTTTCACTGCTGGGGTATTTACAAGCAATGGTCTGGACACCATACTGTCGAAATCAGTACAGAGCTGGCCCACTGAGGCCTAGAATTGGTCTCATGAGGTTTTTTCCATCACACAATTTGGTTTGCTAATCTATAAATACATGGTATTTGCACATAAACACTAACATAACAAGCAAAGGAACAATAAACCTTACCTGGGAAGTGCCAGTCAGAGCCCTGATCCAGAGCCCTTGTGTAGAAGACAGGGGTACCAATCGGCTGCATACTGGAGACCACTGGGAGATGTTAATCCCATTCCTCTAGAGAAATAAAAAACAATTTATCAAGAATCTATATCAGACCCCCCCCCCCCGGTGGTGCAGCGGTTGGGCGCTGGGTTGCAAAGCTGCCCGCAGCCTCTGCAGTGCCGGTTCGATCCCTGGCTGCTCCCCGGTCACCGGAGGAGGGTCCCACATGGCGCACAGACCTCTCCTGCTGCCCGCTGCTCCCCTCAGCAGTGTACTTCGGTCCATCTGCCTGCTCTGCTCCCCGCTCTGGTGAATTCTCTCACCCTCCCACACTTCTGACTGTACCCAGTGCATGTATAAACAAAACAAACAAATAAATAAATAAAACATGCCTCTATTAAAAAAAAAAAAAAAAGAATCTATATCAGACTCCATACATAGAACACACAGAGCATATGTAAGTTTCGAAATACCAGCAGAACAAGGCACATGAAAGGAAAATTTTCAAAATGAGACCAGGCCCAAAACTCCCCACACTCATCTCTTTAAGAAGTAAGATATACTCCTGGCCTATTAATGATTCATGGACTAAAAGAACTCTAGCAATAGCTGACCCAAGCAGGGGGAATGAACTCCCTCTGAGAAGAAAAATAAGCAGACTTTAGACATTTTATAAGTAGAGTTTACAATGTTTTTTCATAAACACTGACACAGCTGATCTTCACAGAATCCCTTTACAGTGAACAGTGCGGGATTACTATCATCCCCAAAAAGATGAAGAAAGTCACATACTGAGCAACTTGATTTCTGAGATAAAGGGGAGATTAAACAGCTGTTAAAACTGAGGTTCTCCTCTGGTATTAACTGACCTCAGAAAGGTCTGCGGGCCAAAGCTAAAGACCAGGTTGGAGAAAGGACTGTCTTGCTAAATGAGAAGTCTGCTTATTTTATGAATCTGAAATACATTCCATTATGTGAATGGGGCCCATGTACTAAGCACTGGAAATCTGTATTCTAGGGATTAACTCTGGGGGTGGATTTTTCTTCCTTGACTTATAGGCCTTATAGGACCATAATGAGGACTCGATAAACAAAGTGCTTGAAAACACTTTGCCAAAAAAAAAAGAAAACACTTTGCCAAGTATAAAGCATACTATTAGGCTTCTAAGATCTGAATTCTAGTTGAAACATAGCTACTCTAACATGATCTTTAGAAGTAATTTAACCTCTTTAATGTGCAGTTTCCTCATAGCAATTATCAGTGATATTTATGAGCATTTACTATGTGTCAGGCAGTTTTCTAGGTGCTGTAACATACATGAGCTCATCAAACCCCGGCCAGGGAGCTACCCACATGGTGCAGCAGACCTCTCCTGTCTCACCCGCTGCTCCCCTCAGCAGTGTATTTCAGTCAGTCTGCCTGTTCTGTTCCCCACTCTGCCTCTGGTGAATCCTGTCACCCCACACACCTCTGGCCTGTACCCCAGTTCTTGTATGCATAAATAAATCTTTAAAAAAAAAAAACACGAACTCATTTAAATCTCAATCACCACCCAATGATCTAGATATACTGTTATTAGCCCATTTATATGACTAAATAAACTGAGGTATGGATAGGATAAGTGAAACTTCCCAAGGTCACAGAGTTAATAAACAACTGGGTTAGGATCTGAGTCCACACAGCCCAACTCCAGGATCCACACCAATTGGTGGAATGAAATGGTAAAGGGAATATCGCCAAAGGATTGTACTTTCTAGATCTAACACTTCATTACCTAATCTTGAACCAATTAAAAGGCAGCACAGTATTGCGGAAGAGCCATGTACTTGGAATCAGAAAGCAATGATTTGATTCTTGGCTCCATACTGTTCATGAGCTATAAGCCTTTGTTGCCTCTTCTACCAAATAAAGAAAAACCCCTACTTTTCAGCATCTAAAAACAAAACAAAACAAAAAACAGTAACAAATGTACACTACAGTATGTCCAACTCAATAAATACTTCACTGACTCTGAATCTCCTTTCTTCATGAATAGGCAGTAAGGGGCAGGGTGAAGTAGAGAAAGGCATTAAAAATTTTAAACCTAGGGGGCCTCCCCGGTGGCGCAGCAGTTGAGCGCTGGGTTGCGAGGCTGCCCGCAGCCTCTGCGTTGCGAGGCTGCCCGCAGCCTCTGCGGCGCCGGTTCGATCCCCGGCTGCTCCCCGGCCACCGGAGGAGGGTCCCACATGGTGCGCAGACCTCTCCTGCCGCCCGCTGCTCCCCTCAGCAGTGTACTTCGGTCCTTCTGCCTGCTCTGCTCCCTGCTCTGGCTCTGGTGAATTCTCTCACCCTCCCGCACTTCTGACTGTACCCAGTGCATGTATAAACAAAACAAACAAAACAAACAAACCAGCAAACAAATAAATAAAGCATGCCTCTATTAAAAAAAAAAAAAAATTTTAAACCTAGGGATGCTTTATAAAAGTGTCTCACAATTCTAAAACACATTACCTTGTTTCTAATGAAAAATAAAGTTTTAAAATATTTTAGTTAAGGTTTGATCTGTTGTGATGGTTTTCAATTGAGAGATAGTTACTAATTTTTGTTTACTAATGCTGACAGATTTGCCACAGTCATTCAATAGCTGATGTTCCTTTACTAAGAATGGGATAAAATGAAACCTCTGCAGGCCCAAAGCAGGAAAAAAAAAATATAAGGGAAAATTACATATAGGAACAATACAAACTTCTGGATGATTTTCTTTTCTTTTTTTTTTTTTTTTTATAGAGGCATGTTTTTATTTATTTATTTATTTATTTTATTTGTTTGTTTTGTTTATACATGCACTGGGTACAGTCAGAAGCGCGGGAGGGTGAGAGAATTCACCAGAGCCAGAGTGGGGAGCAGAGCAGGCAGAAGGACTGAAGTACACTGCTGAGGGGAGCAGCGGGTGGCAGGAGAGGTCTGCGCACCATGTGGGATCCTCCTCCAGTGGCCGGGGAGCAGCCGGGGATCGAACCGGTGCCACAGAGGCTGCGGGCAGCTTCGCAACCCAGCGCTCAACCGCTGCGCCACCGGGGAGGCCCTGGATGATTTTCTGAAGAACTTCATCACAAATTTTCCAATGTCAATGAAAATTTTCTGTGTAATTCTGGCTCTACTTGGTCTTTTTTTTTTTTTTTTTTTTTAAGATTTATTTATTTTATGCCTACAAGAGCCAGGGTACAGGCAGAGATGCGGAGAGTAAGAGGATTCACCAGAGACACAGTGGGGAACAGAACAGGCAGACTGACTGAAATACACTGCTGAGGGGAGCAGCAGGCAAGAAAGGAGAGGTCTGCTGTGCCATGTGGGTAGCTCCCTGGCTGGCCGGGCATCGAACTCTTGCTGCAGAGACTGTGGACAGCTTCACACTGCTGTGCTTACTTAATCCCTTGCACCACCAGCGAGGTCCCTCCCCATAAATTCTAAATCATGTCTAGATTACTTACACTACCTAATAAAATGTAAATAATTGTAAAACTGTATTTTTCAGGGAATATTGACAAGAAGAAAGTCTGTAAAGATTGACTATAATAAACACAACCCTCAGAGAGGCCTAACTACCTAGTAGGTATTTTCCATCCACCTCAGTTAATTGACTCCATGGATGCAGATACAACAGGCTGACTATATACATACTTACGTATATCTATACAAGTACATATTTCCTACTCTTCTCCTGACAGGACCTGAAAGTGAAGATACCTAGTAGCAACCACATGTGGCACCCAGAGCTGGTTTCTAGTAGCAACATAGTCACTAAAAAGGCTTAGTCTTCTCTGGAAGAAAGTTGACTCCAGAATAGGGTAGAGGCTCCTAAAAGCCTTATTCACAAAGAACTGGCATTAGTTGATTGATTGATCTAGTAGTGCCCTGAAAGACTCTATCTCTAAGGCTATCTTGGAACTCATCCAGTGTGAAAAAAATATTTTCCCTAGAGCACTGATTAAAAACAAATAGAGGCAATTGTTTAACTTTGTGGCTGTCTGAGGCAGTGGATAACAGTAGGGTTAAACAACAGGTGAAACAAAATGCTTAAAAGGAAAAGCAGGAGAATGAAATGTTTCTAGGGATTTTGAAAAGTTTCAACAAATTCCTAAGTGTCTGAAGGCCGTGCACAGGGCTGTATACATATGCAGCACTATGTGCACGAACAGGAAAGATCTGAGAATGCCCTAAACTCTCATCTCTGGTCCACCCTTGCTTCACAAACAGAGCTATCAAAAGACTGACCAAATGTGTGCTCCAACATGCACAGAAAGCCTCTTAGCAAAAATCAGGAGATTGGGCCTCCCTGGTAATGCAAGAGGTTAAGTCTCAGCACTATCAAGCTATCAGCAGCCAACGTACCGAGAGTTCGATCCCTGGCCAGGGAGCTAACCCACATGGTGCCACAGACCTCTCCTGTCTTGCTCGCAGCTCCCCTCAGCAGTGTATTTCAGTAGATCTCCCTGTTCTGCTTCCCACTCTGTCTCTGGTGAATCCTCTCACCCCCACACCTCTGGCCTACACACCAGCTCTTGTCTGCATAAATAAATAGAATAAATCTTTTTTTAAAAAAAAAGATTACAAGTTTTACAGAATTATTTCAGAAATGTCAACACATGTCAGTGATGGCTGGGGTAGGGGAGAGAAACAGAAGAAAAGGATTGCAAAAGGGCATGAGAAAATCTTGGGAAATGAAAATATGTTCCTTATTTTTATTGTGATAATGACTTTTCAGGTGTACACCTGTATCAAGAGACAAATCAAATTTTACAATTAAATAAGTACAATTTGTTGTATGTCAATTATTTCTCAGTTTTTAATTTTAAATTAGGAAAAAAAGAAAGAAAGAAAGAAAGCAGAGTCACTGGATCCAAAAACCTTCAAAAATCATCCCCTGCTTAAACTACTCTAACAGCTTCGCCCTACCTTCAGGATAAACTTCAAATTCCAAACCATGAAACACAAGGTCCTGCTTCCTCTCCTGTCATTTCCCCTTGAGTCTAGCCAAACAGATTTGCTTACAGTGCCTTGGCTGTCTTGCGCAATTAGCATAAACTAATCCTTCTCTTCTATGTTCTTTTCCACACTCTCTATCTAGTGTTCTCTCAATTAGGACAGGTATCTCTCCCTAAAGCATGATTCTCCTCAAGCTAAGTTAGATGCCTCTCTACTCCCACAGCACCTGGTACAGACTTCTATTGAATATTATCTCACTTTAAGTACATATTAGTAGTTTTCTTTTCTGTCTCTCCTATAAAATTATAATTGAGAGTAAGGTCTCAGTCCTTGGTTAGCTCCAAGAATGTAGTAAACACTCAAAAACAGTTGCTGAATTAAAAGAGAAGACAGCATTAAAATTTCACTTTAATCAACTGATTCTCTGATCAACCCTATCAATCACTAATTGAGAAAGCTCAAGGCTCAGAGAAGTTAGGTGATTTGCTCAAGGACACACCAAAAATAAGTAATGGACCCAAGCTTTCAACCATGGCTCTGCAGACTCCCAGACAAAGGTACTTTCCTGTATTTGGGAATTTTTCACTATCCTAGCCCAACAGCCTCTACAAAGTAAGTAATCTAACGACTTTCAACTAGTCCTAATGGAGTTTCCGTTCCTTTGTTACATATTACATTATAATATATGATAAGATTTTTAAAGAATAGTAGTATAAAGTGAAAGTGACTTCCCTTAACTAAACTTGCTCTTTATCTTAAAAGATTAAAAGGATATACAGAAGAATAAAAAATCCAACCAATAGAGGCCAGTCAGAGGTGGTTTCATGGATGCTACCATGTAAGAAGAAATGAACTTTAACAGTGCCCATGTTCAGGGGCAAGAATATTTAAGACAGCTGTGGGAGCCACTAAAGTTCAAGACAAATCAGGGTGTTCATTTCAGATCTACAGCCCAATAAACTTCCCATCATCCCTCCTCCCCCATATTCATCTGAAAAACTAAAAAAATTAGTTTTTTTTCCCCCAGAAGTTCTCAGGTCTGAATCAATATCTGCCCTGATAATGATTACTTTGCCCAGTGAATCCACGGTAGTGGGAGCTATTCTTTAAATTATTTACTGAGCAGCAATCAAGGGCACTGCACTTTGCTAAGCTGGCAAGGAATACAAGTAAACTTGCAATCCTTAAGCAAGCCATATATAAAAAGACAACACAAGTGTAAGATAACAACTCGAAAGAAAGCCAGAGGCAGGAACAGAAAGTGTCAGCTATGAAAAGCAACGTCCTTGACCCAGTTTATTAAAGACTTGTTAAAATTATAAACTCTCCCATCCCCCATGATGAGGCACTAAGTTCTGTAGCCTCCAAACCCTTTCCTTCTTCCACTCTCTTTCTCCTTTAATTCCTAGAGGTGAGAGTATGCTAGAAGGATCAGGACTGAATCCAAGTTCAGTAGTTCCCCTTCTGTGTGCTAAGGTTCAGCAGTCTTTCAGTCATTCATTCAAATACTGACTGAACACTTGGAATGTGTCAGACACTGTATTAGGCAAAATGAAAACAAGCGATAGAAAGTATCCCATCCAATAATGTATAATCGCATTTAACTTGAATTGTACGGTAGAGTTAAGAACTATTCACTTCTTTCTGAAACAGAAATTCAGAATCTGACGAAGCTGTACGTTAAAGAACTGATTTACTTCTTTCTGAAACAGAGAAAATCAAAATCTGTAGGAGCTGTGATTAAAGTCCTCGTTTTTCACCTGGGCACTTGGGGAAACGAAAGTTGACTTGCCCAAGGTCACACTGTACGTCAGTCACAGAAGAGCTAGAATCCAGGTCTCCCGAAAGTCCAAGCAGCTCCCCACGTGCGCGGCTCCCTGAGGGAAAGTGGTCCCAGGCGTTGGCTGAGAAAAAGCAAATCTCACCAAATTATGCCCTACGTCACTCTCCCCTCTCCATCAAACACCGGGCAGATACAGCCCCGCCAGGAGCAGGGGGAGGTAGGAAGCTGCCTCAGTTTCCCAGCAGAGGGGGCGCGCGCAGCCCCCCGAAGGCCCAGGCTCCGCTCCAGGACACCCCTCAATCTTTCCCGCCCCGCCCTCTCCGACTGCAGCCCCCGGGCCCCGCAGGCGAGAGAAGAAAGTGATTGCTTCACTCACAAGGACCCGCACCAGCAACGCCATGTTCCTCAAAAACCATTTCCGGGTGAAAAGCGAGCTTCCGGAGTCCCGGCGGCCGCCACCTCCAGACGAGCTCGTCCTTTCGCCCGGCGGGTGCCGGGCAACGGCGGCGCAGGCGCACTGGGGCCGGCGAGCGGAGGGCGCTGGTCTCCCCGCTGCGCGCGAGACGGAGGGGCTGCGGCGCGCGCCTCCCGCTGCCGTCGGCGTCGCAGCGGCTCTAGGCGTCTTCCCGACATCTAGGTTGCCGACCTCAGGCCTCCGGCTTCTCACTGCCCTCTCTGCAGCCCCCACCCATTGTCATTACTAAGCGCCCCCTTGTCAGAGCCCGTCCTCCCCAAATTTTATTCTCTAGAAGAAAACCCCTTTTTCACTGGGAGTTGAAAAGAACAGGACGTTGGGGGTCCCAACATTTAAGGGCTTCCTAGAAAGAGCCTAGCACGTAGCCTGAAGCCTACACGTAGCCCGAGTCCTGAAACTCAGGGGACGAGGACATTCACATACCGACCCAAGACGCGGAGAGGAAGGAATTTGGGGGTTTCTGGTGGGCAGGTTATTTCATGGGAATATCTTTGAGTATTGATAGGAGAGGATTGTAAAGTTTAAGATACAGAAGGAAGAATGAAGGATGCAATAAGTTTCATTAGGAGAGGGGAGAGAATGACCTTGGGTAGAGGATTCCTTCCATGGTATGCCAAGAACGGTAGGGGAGAGGTAGTGGCTGTTCCCGAGGTTGACTGGGAGCAGAGGGACAGGATGTTGAGGGACTTCCTTCCTTTTCATTCAGCCAACAAAGGCCCATTATTAAATGTTCACTATGTCCTGGACACAAGGGTGGATACTGGCTTCATGAAGCTCATGGGCTGGTAGGGGGGTATGCAAAACTCCAATAAGTGAAAAAATTAAAATAATTTAAAATTGTGGGAAATGATGTGAAGGAAACAATGAGCAAAGCTAAAGATTAACATAGAAAACTACACTTTAAACAGTGTGGTCAGGTCAGGCATCTCTAAGAAGTGTCACGTAAGTTGAGAATGAAAGGATGAGAAGTGCTAGTCATGGGAAGTTAACTTCACACACACTAGTCTATCAGCAAATATTAGGAAGTGAGAGAGGGAACGAAAATTCCGGAACAAGAGGCCTGAGATGGGAAAGAAAAGGGGTTTATTTCAAGAGTTCAAAGACCAGTGTGGCATTGAAATTAAAGAGATGATTTAGAGAGATAGGCAGAGGCTAGATTATGCAAGAGCTTCTAGATGAAGTCTAGATTTTATTCTAAGTATGGTAATCTAGTAGAAGATATTAAGCTGGGGAGAACTAGCTGATTCCTCTTTAAGAAGATGCTTTGACTATATGTCATCAGAGAGGGTTAAATGGTCCTTTAACAGTAATGATTTCAGTATATAAATTGTTTTGTTTTTATACAGAATATAAAGATTTCCTTCATTAGTCTTCCATATGAAGAATTTTACAATCCAAGCTGAAGATACTTTTTCTGCACACAAGTAGCTTACATGGGCCATATTGAAAACTCCTGCCTATAAAGCTCCTACACATAAATTAGAACAAATGGCATCACATATTAAAAAGGAATAAGAGGAACATTCTTGTTAATCAGATTCAAGAAGCAAATATCACATAAAAACTATGCAAATGATAATAATTCACACAAGAGATGAAGAGCTAAGATGTTGGAGACAAGAGAAAAGACTGATATTTTATTCCCTTTCTGATGACTATTTTCTCTATGAATTAGGGGAATAATTTTTCTGCTCAGAGGAATGAAGATAGTGTGGGATTATAGATTAGAAAAGTAAAGCCAGTTTCAAGTCTAACAAAGAAAAGGAGGTCAGGAAAACAGAGGATCTAATTGATACTTGGATACCTGTCACTTTTTAATTTAATTTTTTTATTTTTAATTAACAGATGATACATGACTACATACACTTTTCTAAAAATTAGCAAATTACAAATAAAATTACTTTTACCTCCACCTTGAATCTCAGCCCCTGCCACCCTCTCTAAAATTGAATTTCCTTTCAGATCATTTTTAATGTCTTTGCTTACATATATAAACATTTCCTTTAATACTCTTATTCTGGTTGGCATGAGTTTTTGTTGTTATTTTTACTTAATTTTGCTGCTTCCATTTTTTTTTTTTTTGCTGCTTCCATTTTTGCTCAAAAATTTATTTTTATGATTTTATTGACACATTACAATGAACCGTCTATTTGTTTTCTTTGATGTGCAGCCTGGCATTGGGGTTGGGGACTCTGATGGCCTGCTAGGCTGCTCTTGCCACAATGGCATGGTAGTTCTTGGAGATATGGTGAGCCAGTTCAGCACAGTAGTAAGATGTGTCTCATGTCAGCAGCACTTTGAGTTTCTTGACATTATGCACCAGGAATTTCCAGAAGTCACTGAGCAGCGTGTGCTTTGTTTTCTTTTCTTTTCTTTTTTTTTTTTTTTTTTAAGATTTATTTATTTATTTATGCAAGCACTGGGTACAGTCAGAAGTGTGGGAGGGTGAGAGAATTCATCAGAGCCAGAGCGGGAAACAGAACAGGTAGACTGACGAAATACACTGCTGAGGGGAGCAGTGGGCAGCAGGAGGGGTCTGCGCGCCATGTGGGACCCTTGCCCTGCAGCTGCGGATTGAACCAGCACTGCAGAGGCTGCGTGGGCAGCTTCGCGACCCAGCGCTCAACCGCTGCGCCACCGGGGAGGCCCTGCTTTGTTTTCTTGTTGCTCTCATAACCAATGCTGAATATCAAGATCTGGCTACTAACACTTGTTTTGACATTGGTCTGACTGATGCTGGATGGACTTCTTGGTCTTCTTGATCATCCTGAGGGGTCTGAAGGCAGCCATGGCTCCAAATAGCAGGTGGTTGCTACCTCCATAGGCAGCACTGAGGAAGAGAAGTGAACTCAACAATCTTTTTAAAATTATATGCGTGCTATTCTATATGGATCCATTTTATTTCCTTTAGACAACTGTTCTAACATATGATATAGTTGGCAGAGAGTTTGTTTCCATTTTTTTGTTCTTATGACCAATGTTCCCATTAATATTCTTGTTCACTTAAAAACAAAAATTTGAACAGCACCAGGCAAGACAAGATAAATCAAATGTGAGTCAAGAGAAAAAGAAACCAAGAGCTAAAATGCAGATCATCATGACCTACATCTACTAAAACCAGGTTATACATTAAGCTATCTAACAGCCAAAACAAAAGGGGAAAATAAGACTATTTACACAAGTTATTGTATCCATGAGTTAATTAAGGAATCGTGTATTCTTGAAAACTAATGGAACATGGTATCTTTGATGGCATTATTACCAAAAATACAGCAGTGTGTCTTATGGGATGGCTCTAAAATGAGAAGAGTTGTTGGCTTTACACTATAGTATAGAGAAAACAATTCAGTGGGAACCAGTATGACACACAACACATCTCTTTACTGAGTCAGTTTGATATAGAGGTAAAGGACATTGATGGTTCTTAGAGGAATAGGAATCAAAACTCTGATCCTATTGGTAAGTATTATCTTATAGTCAGAATATATTCTGAATGCTCCAGAGCAATTCAATATAAAGTTCATTTTTTAAAGAGATGATTTAATATTTAAACTTTATAAAATGTTTCACATAAAGTTGTAAATCAGTAAAAGTTCTTGTCAGTATATATATATATATATATATATATATATATATTTGTTTATTTGTTTTTTGGGGTTTTTGTTTTTTTTTTTTTTTGTTGTTGTTGTTGTTGTTTAGGAAAGCCAGTCACTTTGTTGGAATGGAAATTATGAGTATTGGACTGAGACACTACTTCCTTCTCTGTCGTCTTTCTGACTTTTGGTAACTATTTTTTCTACAGAATATATCACCTTTCCTTTTCCAGGGAGAGAGAGCTGATTCCTGACAATTATACAGGGAATAAATAGAGATTCCCTTTTTTGAAACTAAACTAAACCAGTTTGGATAGTTTTCAAATTTTATATATCATACATGGAAAGACATCTAAAGCATGTCCTAAAAAATGGATCACAGTCACATCTCACCTTGCTGAGAGAGCCTCTTTTGCAAGTGCAAATCAAGTTGTCACTGCCCTGTATCAAATCAAATACAAACTCCTTACTGTGATGTCTAAGATCTCAAAATTTGGACTCTTTCATCCTGTATATCTCTCTGTCCACTTACTACATTGTAGCCACACTATGCTTGGTTTTTCTTTTTCTTAAATTTACCAAGTCAATTCTTGCCTCAAAGCCTTGGCACATACTATTTCTTCTGCTTGAAATGTTCTGTCTCTGGATATTCACATGGTAAAATCAACAGAACTTCTGATCGATTCAGTTGTACAGACGAAAGAAGATGGTACTCTCTACCAGGAAGGACACACAGATAGGTGAGGAATTCATATGCATTAGAAAGAACTTGGGGAATGTTGTGATGGAGCAGTAAGGAAGGAGCAAAGTCAAGGGTGAATTCTGTGGTTTTCTACATAAGCAACTAGGTGGATAGTAAATTATTCTACAACAAAAAAGAACACAGAAGGAAGGACATGTTTTGAGAGAAAGATAGTTCAGTTTTGGACATGTCAAGTTGAAAGAAGTCTAGAGTATAGCTTTAAGTGGAAAAAATAGCAATTCCATAAAATGGTAAAAGAGAGTAAATGCTGGTGATAAAATTAGGTTTGTTGATTTAATGGTGGAAAGTTTAATTTCCTTCTGATGGCTTCTAATTTCTGTATTTTCTGTTAATTTGGATATGAGGCCATCTGTTAAATAGACAGGGCTTGGAGTCAAAGTTTGAGCAATGTGAAAAAGCTCCCTATCATGGATTGAATTGTGTCCCCCAAAAAAGATAGGCTAAAGTCCTAAACCTCTTATCTGTGAATATCACCTTATTTGGAAATGGAGTCTTTGTAGACGTGATTAATTAAGATGAGATCATTGGGGTAGGCCTTAATCCAATATGGCTCTCACAGCATTTTAAATGGAAATTATTTCTTTGTACAACTAGATTATAAGCTCCTTTTGAAGACTGTTGTTCATTTACCACAGGCAATGGAGTCAAATGATATACCCAT